TGAAAACAACTAGCTAAAACTGAATTTCTACAGGTCTGTGGCCAGTTGACCACTGCAACTGTTTAGCCCTGAGTAAGGGTTGCATATATATATATATATATATATATATATATATATATACAAAGTAGGCCTTGGCTCATAATTTAGGTTTTACGGTCACTGCCTAATAATACAAAAGAAACTTCTACATCTTGAATTAACAAGATACTTTGATCTTGTTTAAACATCACTTCACTCTTTGCTTCCACATGCTTTTTTTTTTTTTTTTTTTTTTTTGGCCTAAAAGTTGTACTGTCAAGAAAGGTAATGGAATTACCAGTTAGAGAATTTTAACTAACTGGGGAACATTTTCTGCAAACACAAAATTCACAGGAATAGCCCACAAAAAACATGTTCTGTCATCACTATGATAAATTATCATTCCTTATGTGTTATAGGGTCAATCTTAATTATTCTGAACTATATCACGTAAATGCATGGGATACCTAAACAACCTTTAACTAAAAACTGCTTTATTGTTACCTTGGAACAATGGACAAATTGCACCCCATGTTCCAATTGGCCCAAGGCTGAAATACTGGCCAACAGCCAACTCCATGTAGAACATCGGCATTCCACACAACACGAGCATGATAAGGTAGGGAACAAGGAAAGCCCCTTGAAGGAATACATGAAATAAAAACAATGAGTTTAGATGGTTACATGTAGCAATAACCTCTCGGCTATGTCTGTTGTAAAGAAAATTTCATACACAATGATAAATAACAAAAGCCTCCATTAGTGATTTATTGTGATAGTAATACCATTGCCCATGCAGATATTTCAGTAATTGTATGTTTTCTATGCAGGCAGTCTTCCAAAGTTCACTTCCTTTAAAATCAACAGGAAACATTGAAGGATGAACCACAAAGAGTTAAAGATCTTGAAAAGCAAATCTGAGAACAGTAACCACACTGTACAATTATTATTGGGAATAATGTTAACTCTTTCCTAACAATACTTTCTAATTTACAAGCAGCTGCAATACACATTTTTTGCAAAGCTTTCCAGCATAAATATTTTGAGAACTAGCTATGACAAATTTTTCCATTTGTAACTGATTACAAAACAAGTGAAACAATAAAATAGATTCATGTCTAGACATGACAAAAGGTGTTAAGCAACAGCATTTGCAATCCAAACAACAAAAATAAGTACGGTATGTTGCATTATTGAAAAACAACAGTTCACCACAAAAGAAAAAGGTTTTAAATCCGTGCGTTTTTTTAAATTTATTTCCGTTTAAGTCGCAGTGTGATGAATGACAAGCTGTCAGAGTTCCAAAGTTCACTCAGCCAACTGATGAGTGAGTAAATTCCTTTTCTTGAATGAAATATCTCTCTATTTACTTGCTTCCATTAATGAGTTTTGCTTGTTAGTTCACTCGCAAGGCAAATATCTGAAAACACTAGAACTTATTTAAATGGGTAATATAAACTTCCGGTTACAATAATTATCAGATGCACTTAGAGCGATCTCTAATTTCAACGATTCAAATGCACGTAACAAAAAGATTTCATTCTATGAGCCTTTTTGTCTTTTTCATCTGTGATTGCTCGGGTCTTGTTTATATTCCAAAAAGCTTTGAAAGACAAAACATTAGACATTCACGTGAGCCAACGCTGAAGATGTTGCCATGCATATTCACGTAATTATAGTTTCCCCTTGAGATAGTTGGCCTTTTTTGTCGTTAATTCGTAGCTTCATCATCGCAACAGCGTGAAACGAACCCCAAATCAAGCCAATATCACAAAAACCTTCAAACCCGCACTACCAGCGAATAGTTTTGTTTGTAATTTCCGTGGTTTTTCCGCGAAAACCACATGGCTGCGCAGTCGGTTGGTAAATTATTCATCTTCTAAATATACAAAGACGGAAAGCAAAAACTGTATTCGACTAACCGGATGCAAAACCGAACAATAATTTTATCGAGGTACTACATCTACGTTAATGTGTAACGGGATCGTAATAGTGTCCCTTTACAAGGATTTTTAAAGCCACTAAGACAAGTTTCAAGCGGCGCGGGAAACCGCTCATGCATAGCTAATGAGAGTAAAAGTACTGACTGCGTTTTGCCTCTATTCATTCGTGTTGTACAATCGGCGTGGTCAACTGGAAAGACTATCTGGTTGTTCTCTACAGGGAAACTGAATGAAATCAGTTGGCTTTTCACATTTAACCCAATTTCTAACCGTACTGACTCCGTTCACGGACCTTTAAAACCCTCTGAAGTCGATTAAATGATAACACAGTCGCTTTCTTGGAGTTTGTACATTGAATAAACACTCTAACCCAAGCCTTCTTAAGGTTTTTTTTTTTTTATTAAATAGCCACTAACCTCCACCGTTGTCGTAGCACAAATAGGGGAACCGCCAAACATTTCCCAGCCCTACAGCAAAGCCGATGCAAGAGAGCAAAAAATCCGCTTTCTTCCCCCACTGTTCGCGTTCATCCTCTATCTCTACAACATTAACGTCACGTTCATCAACAGCGCTGCTGCTGCCACTAGTATCACTAGTCTGCTCGCCGTTTGCTTCCTTCCCTTTCTCAATCAATTTTTTTTCGCTCGATTCCATATCACCACTGTTGTTCTTGTCCATATCAGCTGTTTTAAAACCGGTTTTCTGCGCTGAATTCGAGCTCCAGGGTTACGTTTCGTCCAATTGGCGAACTACTCCACGGAGAGCATGTGGCTGTGATAACAATCGAGCTTGCGCGCCAAGATTATATCCCAGTGTCAGCCTCGATATGAGGCTCGAATTACCCAAACAGTGTAGCACCACGTGGGTCGCAATCGACAACAAGTAAGTTCGAATCACCCATGCTCAATAATCCACGTATTTTTTTAAGGTTGTCGTTGATCTTAGAGTCAAGCATTTTCAAGGTCAGATAGCAAAGCCACTTCCTACTTTATGCAAAGATAGTTTGAGTGTCATTTGAACCGGAAAAAGCGGACATCTAATTAATATGGCACGTTTCGTGCAAAAATGAGAAAAATCTAAAAAAACGATCTGTCAGTCACCAAACAGTACGTTTTGGTACATTGATTCGAGAAAGCTTGTTTCTAACGCAGCATAATTTTCGGCGAAGTACATGACTCTCTAGGAAAATTCGGCAACGATTCATTTCGGGCAAGGAAAAAAAAACATTGAAAGTCAACTTGTCATGGCTTTCAACAGTGCTTCGCCGTACATGATGTAACATGATGTAGTACACTTTCAGAAAATTGTGCAAGAGATTTTTTTACCATGACAACGAAACGTCAGTTGATCCCACTCTTGAGAAAAATTGTCATCTTTCACTGGTTCATTCGTTTGCTTTCTTGTTCTCGTTCTCCTTTTTTTTTTTTAAGCGAAAGCTTGTTATAAGGTGAAAATCTTTCCTGAGAGGAAAACAACTACGCCTTCCCAGTATGAAAGGTCCACAGGTCAAGAGCTTAAAGCTATTATAGATTAAAGATTTCCGCGCGCAGAAACTATACGTGGACTAGAAGAGTGAAAAAGGCTCTCCAAAAATAATCTTTTTAATTAATCCACGTAGAAGTCATCCACTCCCGTTACACCCGCTCGTGAATTAATGGCCATAAATCTCTATAAATACTCCATGTTACCGGATTGAACATGTTCCAGGTCAATGATCCTAATATAAACATGACAAACAAACATGGGGTTTTACAGTCCTAATCGGATTTCAAAAGCTTTATTGTTTCCTACTGCCTTATTTATGGCTATGATGCGTCGAAGGAACACTTTACGCGATCTGTATTTTAGTGTCTTTGGGGATTAATAAGCTCACAAGGCGCGAGTTCACTCTGTTTTTCCCTCTCGGTTACAGACGAGGACAGCTGGCTAACAAAATATCATTCTCTAGCCATCCACCGTAATCTTGCTTGCTTTATTTAGTTCTTCAGAGAAGTACCAAGGTACTAGTTTAGATCTCTCTCTTAGACGGTCTTCAAACTCGATTCCAACTGGAAGAAAATACGGAGCTCTTCTTCGATATATGCATTGTCACAAGCTGGACTTTCTCGGTGTTGCACTGTATTGTTACTTACTTCTAGCATTAGTGAAATCAATTCTGGTTGCTCAATAAATGAACGCGTTTTCACTTGTCTTTCATGGTTCTTCACGGTTCCCTGCCTCTGTCGCAATATATTTCAAGTTTTTAAAATTTAACTATCTTTTCCATCACAAACCGGCCTCGTTCACTTTTGATCTATTACTTTTATTTTGATGTTTTGCTATGTTAAGAAACCAGAATTTTATGGTTTTGTTATGTTTTAAGTATTTGCGCGTCGTAAAAAGTGCAGACTTCTGTTTCTCTGAGCCGTGTGATCCACTTGCCGTTATTAATGGTCCCGTCCCAAGCTCATCACGAACGGTTTGTTTCGCCGATGAACAAGTGCCGTGAATTGTAGGCTAATGTGCTAATGTAAAATAAAGAGCTCTTTTGAAAATTCTTGTTATTTTGTCTGTCCCCAAGGTAATGTAAATGATCGGTCGAACAAATTAACAAAGAACCTTGTACCATTGCTAAGCACCAAGCACAAAGGTACCATCAATGCTTTTGACAAAGCCGTGAATTCAGAATTATTACGTAATTTACAGTTGCTCTATTAAATGGACGGGGGGGA